TGCATTTTGTTCGTATTTTTTTTTTTTGTGTATAGGGGATTTTGGGTTTCTATTATTAGGGTGTATGATCAGACATTGATGCTGTTTATAATAATATATCTTGGGCCTCCTGAGAAGTGCAATCCTTGTTCAATAAACTAGTTGAATGATTTATCGTCTTTTATTATGGTGATTCAATTCTCTTGACCTTGTTGGTAAGTTTTGAGGTTAGGAAAGTCCTTATTCGGGTATTTGCGTGTGGTTAAACTTATCTGGCGCCCATTTAAAATCTTTCAAATAAACCTTGAAATCTTTCTTCGAAACCACCCCGTCTTCGACTGCAGCAGTCGCAAATGCCCACAAATCGATTATCGCTTGTGGTAATGTGACTTTTGGTTGTGTAAGCGCTTTGTAGGTCACAATGACGATCGTTGCCATAGCAACAGTTTTTCCATAACTGATTTCAGCTAAACGAAACTTGAGCCCGATATTCAAAGTGACACCATTTGTTTGCATCAGATTTCGAACTTCGCTATTGTCGAATTATTTTGTACCACCGTCACATTGAAACACTTTCATAGGCCGTCCGAACTGCGTTTTCAAGATTTCAATCATTTCCGAAATCTTTTCTGCAGTCTTTCATTTATAATTCAGAAAATACACTTTCCGAAGTCTGGAGAGATCACACGTGAAGCAGACAAAGTATATCGCACCTCTGATAGATGTACATTCCATGGGGCCACATAAATCCGCATGAATGAGTTTAGCAGACAAAGTATATCGCACCTCCGATAGATGTTCATTCCATGGGGCCACATAAATCCACATGAATGCGTTCACCAGCTTCCGTTGACCGTTGCTTCCGCTCCTGAAATGTTTTCCTTCAATGCAAACTCCACAAAACTGATTTCTCCAACAAAACTTATGTTATGGGCCTTCAACAATTCCTGACAGTGACGTTTGTTTTGATGACCCAAACGTTCATGCCAAATTGACAATGTTATAGCTGAACTCAAATTGATTTCGTTCATACAGCGCGTTTTGGGATTTCTTATTCGGATGACCATCTTGAACAGCTGATGACTCTTGCTTTCACAATGCCTTTCTTCATGAACAGGCATTGACTCTTCGATGAATTGAAGGACATTTCTCTATCTAGAGCTGAAGTTACAGAAAATAGATTTCTTCGAGCATTAGGTACATACAGCATGTTTGCCATGCGACACGGCATCCATTTTCCCTCAATTTCAGACTCAAAGAGAATTTCACCTTCTCCGAGGGCATCCATGGTTGATTTTTTTCCAATATGGATTTTCACAGGTACAATGAATTGTTTAAACGTTGAAAACCATTTTTTTTATGTGTGACATGATCTGTTGCACCAGAATCAACAATCCATATATCATCATCAACTTCAGCATTCATTATTTTTGTGGTGGAAGCTTCATCGTCACAGTTTGCAATGAATAATGAGTTTGTCTCATTCTGTCCCTCTCGTTCCTTGTTCGTTGCACAATTGTTACGAAAATGACCTCTCTAACCACAGATATAGCATTCAAACTTGGTTGCGTTTTTCTTCTTCTTTCCAACAGCCACAGTTGTTTTATTGGGAATTCTAGCACGACCAACTTGAATATTTGCTTTCGCAGACATTAGCGCAACTAGTTCTTTTTGTTTTTCGACTCATTGCTTTCGACGCTCTTCATCAGATGTTAAGGCACCTATTAATGTTTGAAATGTTTGCTGATCTTCAGGTCTTGCACACCACGCCTGTTGAAGACTTTCATATTCATCTGGTAATGTATTCAATAATTTCACTAGTTTATCTGGATTCACATTCAACTGTTGCATACGTAAAACCAACCCTTCAAATTTGGCTTTAAGTGTGACCATATCATCAGTTGAATGCTTTCTAAAGAAGAAGAATTCCGCTTGGACTGTATGAGCAGCCTTTTTTTTCGCTTGGAGCGCACGAAAGAAAATCCCTATAATGTCCAAAGAACATCGTGCGTTCCTAGGGAGAATAGGGATAGGAGGTAGGTATTGGATTTTTTTTTGAACTTCTGGAGATTATATGTGATAATTGTCGACTTCTTCAGGAGCAGCATTTTCTGCTAACGGATTCGGTTTGACGCTATCCCCATTTATCCCCTCTTTTCGATTCCACGCAGTATATTCTTTACTGCGAACTTCCAGATGGTCCAATTTTCAGCACCTCTCAGTTTCGCGATTCCGTGATGATCAATATACCAATATACAACAAAGCACTATTACTCCACTTTCGAGCAACCACGCTGTGCTACCATGTTGATGTAATGTAGGTGAGAACACACATCAATGATTTTTTATTGGGAGAAAACTTTGACACACTAGGCATATATTATCTGACAGTTAATACCCAATGAGCACAGTGACGTTGAAAAAAAACGTTGCTCAATGGTTTGGAACCAAACGTCTATGAGGGGTATATCTCAAACGTTGATTCAACGAAAAAATGTCGCACGATAAAAGGTTTTTTTTTTCAACCAAATGACCTACTAGAAATAAACGTATTTTGGGAACGTTTTTTCAACTTGAGTATTAACGTGACATAAACGTAATGTTTCGACGTTTCATAATTGTCGATAATAAAGGTTCATTCAACGTTTAAGCTAGATAGATGTTCGTTATTTTTGTGTTCACGATGAATTTATCATCATTCTCATAATGATTGCAATTATTATTATAACTTACTAACCTAATATGTGTCCATGTATTTCCTTTCCGTTCCACTTCCTTTCTAGTAACGTACCTATCTCCACACATTCCTATTCAAATTTGCCCGACTACTCCCATTTTTACCTAAACTTTTGGTGTGAGCGTCGGCGAGATGTAAACGGAATGAATACACGTTGTCTAATGCCGATTATCAAACGTTGTTAGAAAACATATATTACACGCTTTTTTTCTACCAACCGTAATCAAATACTTTCAAAAAAACGTTTGAGTTACGTTCATTTCAAGAATTCAATAAACGTTTAAGAGTTCAACAAACGTTTGGGACAAACATTAGTTTTCCTTGAACAGTTCAACTATGATATAGAATATAGTTCAACGACAACTTACATCACGCGTTGGCAAATAACAGTTGAAAAATGTTCCACATTCGGTCAGGAAATGGTGACATATTCGCGTTGAAGAAAAGTTCATTCCGAACGTTTAACTAACGTTTCGGAAAAACGTTTTATAAATGCATGATTTTAACAGATCCAGGACATATCGTTTTCAATACGTTCATGAAACGTTTTGATTTACCTTTATTCCAAGAGTTCAACAAAACGTTTGGTAGAAACGTTAGTTTTCCTTGAACAATTCAACTATAATATAGAATATAGTTTAACGACAACTTATATTACACGTTGACAAATAACAGATGGAAAACGTTGTTGAAGAACGTTCCATTCGCGTTGTTTTTCTACTCTCAGTCAGAAAATGATGACATATTCGCGTTTAAGAAACATCCATTTCGAACGTTGACTAATAACAGATGAAAAACGTTGTTGAGGAACATTTCAATCGCGTTCTTCCTCCACTCTCGGTCAGAAAATGGTGACAGATTCGCGTTAAAGAAATGTTTATCTCGAACGTCTAACTAACGTTTCGGAATAACGTTTCATAAATGCATAATTTCAGCAGATAGTCAGGACATATATTTTTCAATACGTTCATAAAACGTTTAAATTCATTTCTAAATACTTCAAACATATTTCAACGTCAAATTTCTCAACCATAAACGCCTATCTAACTTGTTCTATGTTGATAATATACGTTGAAAAACCGTACGTGTGCCCATTGGGTGAGTAGTAATCAAAACAACAACATCGGTAGATGAACAAAGATATAGAAGGTGATCTGATAGATTTGGATGTTTCTCTTCAACGGAATTCATTCTAGAAACCATGTTGGAAACTAAAAAAAAAAATTGGTGACCATTGTTACCAGTTCAACTTTTCAAAATGACTTTGATAACATTTTCTGAATATAAAATGCAATGTTTGTGAAATATCAGTCATGAGGTATTGTGATAACATAAATGTATCATTTCAAGACTTTTTTATAAAAAAAATATATTTATATTTTTTCAATTATTTATTTTTCATTCTGAAAATTGTAGGTAGTTATTATGAAGGCGCGCTGAATTATTTCGACGTACACGAGCATGTTTCAACAGAAACTCCTAATATCATTTTCCGAAAATTAGGGTAGTTCCATGGCTGTTGTCGAGCAGTGTATATCACTGAAGATGACTCCACTTGATCATGAAGTGCATTTTTGGTATATCTCTGGCTCCAGCAAATTTCAGGATACTTACCCAACGATTACGTAAGTAAGTATATTAAGTATATTATATAAAGAATCAATGATTAAATCATCCATTACATAGTGGGCAATGATAGGTGACACAGGATTTCCCATTGTCATACCAGCAATTTGTTTGTAAACTTCATTACTAAAACTGGAAACTGTTGTGTCATATAGAAATTCTATTAAATTTAGGAAAAGGTGTTTTGAAATCTTACAATGCGGTTCTATTTCATTCCAATGTCTTTCAATGCTTTTCTTGGCAACTAGTATATATATATATATAGTTATATATACTAGTTAGCCTGGATGTTGTTGCACTGTTCAATAATGTCACAGTTGAACTTGCCAAAAAAAGCATCGAAAGAAATACTTGAGAATTTCTTTCCTCGTCCTGTATGATGAATATCAATTTGTTATACATTCAGAAACAGATTTTCATTTTGTTCATCGGGTTGCTTAATCACTTACAATCACAAATTCGTAATCATAAATAATAACAATCATTGCTATACCTACTACTTATAGGAGAATCCTCATTTCACCTCTACAAACGATCTATCCCATCATATCTGATAATATTATTATATCACGTCATTGAACTAGTTGTAATATTTGTAAAACGATTATGTAGCGATAAAAAGGCAATATCGTATTTAGGATTCGCGTTTAAAACCTACTGAATGTTCATTCGTATTATTTATTCTGCAAACTAGACTTGAATATTTCAGTTCCGTTTGTCACATCCGTTCACATCATTTTGACTTCCATTATCTTATCTTTGTATAGTTGAAATCGGCTTTGAAATCACATGGATATACGTCAATCCAAAATCATTATGATAATTTCATGTATACTAGTTTTCTTTTTACTAATATTCTTTTTGAGTGACGCACATTCCTCGAATGAAAATATGTGTATTGAGAGTATCACAACAGTTAGTGGAACTTTTGCACCAAAAGGTGTAATCTGTTCAGGAAGTTTGATTTTTGAAGACGACTTTGAAGTGTTTGACTTCAAGAAATGGCAGCATGTAAAAACTCTTGGTGGTGGTGGGGTAAGTTATAATGAGAGTTATACTAAGAAGCTATACGAATAAGTGCAGGGTAATTCACATGAGGTTGCTATTAATAGTAACTATTCATTGATAGTCTCCTCTACCAGAACAAGTTTAAAATATTTTAACAAAAACAATAATGATGAATACGAAATATCCAAATATCTTCCAATTTTCAACAATACATCGTCCATGAACGTATTACGCTTCACATGCAACATTTCCTGAAATATTCACGAACAACCTTCACGAAAGGAGGAAGGTGTTGGCATTGTTTCTCAACTTTTGTTCTTGAGAATACCTACTTCCTCAGTCAATGAATTCCAGAGCTTCGCCGTTCTACAGAAAAACGAGTTTTGATAAAGTGCTGTTCGACATATTTCGAGGTTGACAACGAGAGGATGTGCTGACTGCGCTTGTCGAGTTCTGACTAGTATGGCTAGTCGTGACATGATATGGAAGAGATTTCTGGATAAGATTTTCCGTGTATGTATAAGTATCTACAGAAAAGTGAAAGGTCGTCGACCTTCCTACGGTGTTCCAGTGATGTCAAAGTGTAAGTGAGTGTGGCATCATTCACCAGGCAATATTCCTGTGAAGTTTTCCCAATCTATTGGAGCGCACGAAATAAAATTCCTTTTAGTTCACAAAACATCGTGCGTTCCTATAGGGAGGACAGGGAAAGGAAGTAGGTGTTGGATTTTTATCTTGAACTTTTGGAAGTTGTAAGTTCTTGGGAATATACTGCTTCCATTGACAAATAAGAATTCTATAGCTTTTTGCCGTTCTACAAACGAAGGAGTTCTGGTATGAAGTGTTGCTCGATATTATTCAAGGTTTACAATGAAAGGATGTGCTGACTGGGCCTGTCGAGTTCGTCGGATTGGTATCGCTAGTGATGGAATAATAGCAGAGATTTCCCAGGTAGCCAGACTGACGAATGTGACGTCTATAGGACCGCTATCTAAGGTCTTTTTTGGTCTCATACGTCTTTTGACCAAATTATGACGTCATGCGGACGTCATTAATGTGACGTCTTATGGACAGCCACTGTTTGACGTCGTATAGACGTCAATCTATGGTCTTCATATTTTTTTGGGTATTATTATCATTATCATTATTATTATTACTATTATCATTATCATTTTTATTATTATTATTATTATTATTATTATGTATGTATAGGAAAACAAAGTTATAAAATAAATTAATTAATTTATCCAAATAACTGTATAAATGTATGATAAAAATGTACTTTATTCCATAGGCTTCCCTTGATTTTCAATGTTTAAATTTAGCGCCAAAGACAATTCTCACTTACCGACCAGATGGCCAATGGCGATCAAGTAATCACGCGAAGAGATTGTGTATGCGACTCGCGACCATCTTGCGACTGCCGTTAGTGGCGTTAGTGCCGTTCAGCGGTCCGTTCTGTGGTTCAGCGTCAAGCTTGCATCGTGCAAGGTGCGTTCCCGTTCATGTTCATTGTCCATCGTCCATGTTCGAATGGGCGTTGTTTGTGAACGGCGTCAGTGCCATTGAATTTGTTAAGAATGTTAAAATGTTGAGTGTTTTTCACTGTTTTTCACGTGAAAATATTCAGGATGTATTGTGTAATACAATTTAATGACAGTGGAAGCAACACAGTGTACCTGTTGTTCACGAAACTTGGCTGACGCCGTTGAAAAAGGAAGTGTTTTGGCCGCCATTTAAAGACAGCAAAACATACAAAAGAGCTCTCAGTGAAAGGGAGCCATCGACGCTGAAACCTTACATTACTATCTTGTTAATAAAATCTTCATTCGTAGCAAATTTATTTTATAGCACAAATGATAACCTTCCTCACCAGATTATAAACATTAACCTCAAAATTTTATTAAAAAAAACAGACGTCTTATTGACGTCGGAAATTGGTCAGTAGTGTCAGTTTAAGGTCCAATTTGAAAACACATACTGACGTCTAAAAGACTTTCAAATATGACGTCATTTGGATGTGTCTTACTTACGTCATTTGGACGTCGCATTTGTTGAAATAAAGACGTCTTTTGGCCGAATGTGATGCCGTCAATTAGACGTCATATAGTCGTCATGTGCTACCTGGGTTATGATGAAAATTTTCCGTGGAAGAGTATCCAGAGAATATTGAAAGGTCGAGAAGTGTGGAATCACTCACCAGACGAATGACTCTTCTTCGGATGGAATCTTAGAGCATCAGGGTATGTTTGGGTGCTGAACCCTTTATGTGAAAGAACAGTATTCTGAAACTGGTCGTATCTGTGCTTTGTAGATCATGAGTAGATTTTCGCACAGAATAAAAAAACAAGTTTTTGTGAAGCAGCTTTCGCGATTTATCGGACATGATTTTACTTTGAAAGAGTATCGCTGATGGAAATACCAAGCATCGATAAGTGGGGATGATGGTACCAGACATTGTTATATCAGGCATCCCGAGTTCCGCCTTTCTAGAGGAAATACTGGCTTGAGTTTTGGTGACGTTGAATTGAACTAGGTTGTATTTTTCCCCAGACTGAAATTCTAGCAAGAACTTCATTGACAGCGTTGACCTGCTTCCGTCGTAAGTTCTTATTTTCTTGGGATGAAATGGGAATTCTAGAAGAGAGCGCAGTATGGAGAGTACTATCGTTAGCGAAGCTGTGGATAGGGCAACTGGTTGCTTCCAACAGATCATTGATAGGAAGTAGGAACCATGTTGGTGCCATAATTGATCCTTGTGGAACGCTGGAATTATATGGCAATAGTATCAGACGATACGTCCACCACTCTGCCTGTAAGGTAAACCCAGTAATTTTTTACTTATCATCCGATGGGTTTTTTTCCAAAAATATTTTTGCAACTTACGTAATATTGTCTCAAAAACACGAATTCGATAATGAAAATGTGAACAAACCACTATTCATCGAGATATTTCACGTAAAAGTTATACAGGGTGATTCAGTTTTCAAGGCACAAACTAAAATGGGAGATAGATTTCATCATTTTAGTCAAAAAAGTTTATATAAACCTAGCTACAGGGGGTCAAAGTTTAATTATTTTTTTCTATTGAATGAAATATCTTCCTTGCTTCTGAAGATATCATTTTGAAATTTGGTGTGGTCAATACTTCCTAGAAGATCATCATTTCAAGCCAAAGATTTTCAAAATTTACAGGCTGATACGTTTTTGGGGGTAGAGGCTTCTTTATCCCCCGAAAACTTTCTCGTAGTACGCCTCTGGCATCTATTAGTGATCAGATTGTGTGGATCGCTCATTTCAGAGGCTTTGTTTGCTCTTCAATTTTTTTCGAGGAACGAACCGTTCTTACGATAAATTAGCATTATGCGTTCTAAATCATGTTGATTTTGGCTATGTTTCGCTTAAATTTTATTCAACTGAAAAAAAACCTTGACTTTCTACCATCCGTATCCCCGTTACTGATCCAGATTGGACTCGTGATTGCAATTCTAGTGAGTGCATGTCATTGCATTTTCAACGAATTTTGTCAAATAATGAAATTTAAGCGAAACATAGACAAAATTAACATGTTTTAGAACGTATATGCTTATTTATCTCAAGAAACGGTTCGTTTCTCGAGAAAAATTGGGATCCAATAAAGCCTTTAAATTGATCGATACACACAACTTGATTACTGAAAAATGCCAGAGGCGTACTGCGAAAAAGTTTGGAGGGGATAAAGAAGCCTCTACCCCCAAAAACGTATCACCCTGTAGATTTCGAAAATCTTTAAATGGCTTGAAATGATGATCTACTAGTAATGAGTATTGACCACACCGAATTTCAAAATCATATCTTGAGAAGTAAGCGAGATATTTCAATTGATAGAAAAAAAATTAAACTTTGACCCCCTGTAGCTCCGCTATCGGACTAATGTTTATATAAACTTTTTTGATTGAAATGATGAGATCTATCTCTCATTCCAGCCTGAATATTTCACATTCCTTTTCCGCTCGTCTTGCCCTTATTCTTCTTTCATCATTGGACAATTTTTTCATCCCGATGTACTTCAATGATATAATCTCAATATGATAATCGATTAGCAATATGATTTTTAGCGATTTTTCTCATATTGACTATTAGGTCAACAATCATACCAGCTGATGGGAACTGCCAATCGCCATTTTGCATTCTGCCATTCAGTTATCAAGGACATGTCGAATAAGCAGGAATTTACTGTCACTGTGGATAGGAGAATGAGAAAACTCAATTTTTTTGAGAAAATGCATATCACACAACTAGTCTCAGCCTTCAAAGTGGAAAAAAATATTGGGAAGGAAGAATAAGAAACAAAATGATTTGTATAACGTTATTCGAAAGCAATTTGTCTGAACGTTTATGTCCTTTCAAGACCTGTTGACATTTGACATTTATTTGACATCTGAAGTTGAATGGCTGTCATCTGGTATGATTGTTTAGTAAAAACTCCAGAAAAATTATATTTGTTGTTGACTTTTCCATATAAAATATGCTATTGAAGTACATCATGAGTATATAAAGTGTCTTCAATGGCAAAATAAAAGCAAGTAGCTGTCAATCAGTAAATGCGTATCCAAAGACAGGCGAAAAAAGAAGGTGGAATATAGAACTTTTTCGGGAAATACCCTGATGAATAGTGGTTTGATAACATTCTCATTATCAAATGAGTGTTTTTGAGACAAAAGTACGTAAGTACCAAAAAGAATTTTCGAAAAAAAAAATGTCATTATAAGTGCAAAATTAACGAAAACTCGATAAGAGATGGCAAAGCTGGGGTGGTAATAAGCCGTATGATGGTAGTTTGTTGAGGAGTCCTTGGTGCCAAACACGGTCGAATGCCTTTGATATATCTAACGCTACAGCTAGAGATTCCCTATGTTTTTCTAATGAAGTTTGTCATATATGGGTGGCGTATGAAGATAAACCTCTTGTTGATCTTTGGTAGCGAAAGCCATATCGTCTATCAATAATGACCCCCGAGCTTTCCAGATATCCTATAAGCTCAATGT